AAAGAAAAAAAAAATTTGTGAAATTTATATGATGCTGAATAGATATTTGTATTATTTGCATCTATTATTTATTTAATATATAATTGATACGATTTAGAATTGATTCGTATGCTGTCAATAAATTGGCAATGAAAATCGTATGAGAGTGATAAATTTTAGAAATTAAATTTTACGTCATAATTACAGTAGTGGATGAGAAAATCGTGTGGAAACAGTAGTGAATGATCATATAGCGTCTCAAATCAATTTCAAACCAGATTTCTCATATCGAAATAATCGGTAGAAACAGTTCTCTTAAATGGATTATATCTACCACGTAATTCAGCAAAAATCAATTAATTATTAATGTAATAGAAATACAATAAATGTTTGACGAAAAGGTTGCCGGAGGGGAGGTGAAAAAAGAAGATAAATATCTCATTGTACACTTTAAAATTTTCAAAGATTTCTATGAGTGTTCAATTCATTCAGTGAAAATCATTGGTTGGCTGAATCCAGAAAAATTATAGAGTTGCAGGTTAATTATTCGTATAAACAAACTGGTTGAGAAAGTTCACTTAATTATATTTTAATTAGTTTCATGCTATTCCATTTTAATTTGTTTTGCTTAATTTAAATTTATTATATATGATTATTTACATTATTCATTGTCTTGAATTATATTATTTATTCAATAGGCATCAAAAAAAAAAAAAGAAATTTTCGCATTGCAAATACGAATCAAACAATGATATTGAATTTATTGAAATTAAATTAGAATATGAAAGTGTAAATTTCTAATCCAATTCAATGCAATCCAATTTTTCTTTTTCATTTCAAAAATGTAAGTTTAAAAGAATGAAAATATAAAAGAACAAATAAACCAATAAACTGATTAAAAAGTATAATTGAAATGTGAAAAAAATTAGTTATCCATTATCATCCAAAATAATGGTATTAATAACGTTTTTATACTATGAATTAGGACTGATAAAAGAAATTTGATTTGAACTAATTATGATACGAAAGATTAAATCATCTCCCGGACTAAAATTTGTCGTGCTGATCTGCTGATTGACTAATTGAGAATCGATTTACTCTATCCATTCTTCATCCTATCATTCTCTTTTCCCATCTGAAATTACGATTTAATTTTTATCCGTAAATAAATTCAGCTGTTGTGATTTAATATCAATCAATTACTGTTTTTCTATTTACTATCATTGTCTTTGCTTCGTTTCCTCATTTTTATCGCTTAAATTCAATTATTTTATTTTATTTTTTATATCATTTCAAACTTTTTCTTATCATTCAAAATGCAAATGGTCAACAAGACTATTTTATGGTTATCAAATTTGTTCAATTTTTGGCGAAATTTAAACTGAAATTTTACACATATCACATTGTTGCCTATTGAGTTTGTGATTCTGCTATATAGGAGCTAGAATATTTTTCTGACAATCGTAAAATCTTCAAGCTAATTTAAGCTTTTTTTAAGATATCGTTCTTGAGAAAACTCCCGAAATTTTCATTGCTATTTGTTACGAATCATATGAAATATTTAATTTTCAGTAAAATGTTGAAACATCCATTGATATTACTGTTTTGCGAATTAATCAATGCATATTTCACAAATGATTTCAATACCTGGCTTATAGAATATTATGGATCTAATATACAAGCAACACTGAATAGGTGAAAAAAGATTTATTAAATTTAACAAATTTTTCTATACTTAATTTTATCTATAAAAAAAAAAAAACGAAAAAAAAATCTATAAAAATAGAAATGTTAAATTTAAAGTTTAAATAACCATTCTTTTCTTTGACACACATAATATGTTATCAAATGGAATTCGTATTTTAATCACATCTATTAAAAAAATTTCAGGAAATGATAAAGTTAACGAAATGAGATTATCACAATGATACTAACAATCATGTTAATTTATTAACAAACTAACAATTTTAAAAAGTAGAAATAATTATAATTTAGGGCGGAATTAGGTCGATCGGGTTCCTTTGGTGGTAAACAGTATCGAAATCAACGTTTAACAAAGGATCCGATCATTTTTGTTCACGGTGTTTCGAATACTGCTGGAGAGCAACCGTTTATTGGTGCACAATATTTCATGTATGCTTTTTTGACAATTTTTTTGATTTTTGTAAAATTACATTACTGTCCAAAATTTTTAGAGCTTCTGGTTACAACTGGTCAGAACTGTATGCGACAACATATGCTAACGGAGCACAAGGTAATCCAACACAATGGACGAGTTATACAATGGATTGCAGATATGTCAAACAGGTATTTTATTCATTTACAATTTTAAAGCTAATTTTTATGATTTAAAAATTAATTCATAATATAAAATACGTTATACAAAATGATATTAGCTGTTTTTTTTTTCAAAGTGATTTAAAATTATGCAGTATCATCATCACAAAAAAAAAAAAAATATTGAGATTGGCAAACTGTTAGCATCACTAATGAACATACAAATTGCTTGAAAGCATTGAAAATAAAATTCATTTCTCATTGCTATAATTTTAAATGGTAAAATAAGTTGACTTATGATCAATCAGTTCTATTTTGAATTTATTTTGCATTATTAAAAAATATTCCAATTTTAATGAATTTTACAAAGGGAGCAAAATTATGTAATTAAAGGTACGTGGATTAATTGTATCCGTACGTCTGTACACCGGTCGCGCAGTCGATGTCATTGCGTATTCATTAGGTGTACCCGTGGCTCGAAAAGCCATTTTAGGAGGTGAAAATTAAATTTTATTTCTTTGTTTGTTACTTGTAATACAATAAAATTTTAATTGACTAATTTTAATTGCACTTCTTGAGCCTAATATACTTTGTCGAGTGTTCAATTAAACCAAAAAAATGAATTGTTACGTCAACTTACCATAAAATTAAGCGCAAAAGTTTAATTTATTCATTGTTAATTTGTCAATTATTTGTTTATTTATTCGATCAATATTTTTCACTATCCTATTACCTGAACTACCATTAGCCATATAATATATTTCGGATTACCATTGATCATATATGCATGTATTTGGGACAAAATTAATTAGATGCATATATTCATTTATAATATTGATATTATTTATGATTGCAATCATCTTCATGATCATTTCGCTTTTTGATTTTGTTTCTGATATTAGCATGTTTGGATCATTTGATCGTTTGATTCTTTTTTTCAATGACTGGCTAACAAATTTCAGGCTTATGCGTGGACACTAGAGAGAATTTAGGTGGTCCATTAACAAATGCCATCGATACATTTGTTGGTATTGCTGGACCAAATCATGGCGTTATGTTAAAGGTTTTTAAATCAATTTTTTGATTTATTTATTTTAATTTCTAAAATTTTAATTATCCTCGAGTTATTTTCACTGTCATCTTATATATCAATAAAAGTGATATATTATTGACAGATTGGTATTGCCAATATTCCTGCATGTGTATTCGCATTGATGCCTATTTGT